ACTAGGACCAACTTGTCACTAGACCCTTGTCGCACCAAAAATTTGTCCAGAGAGCTCTGTTTCTGGTGTCTTTAAGATTTCCCTAAAATGGGATATAGCATTGTCATTGTAGATGTTGCCAGCACGGCCTGCAACAGCTGTGTCAGGGTGATGTTTATCCATAAAAATTTGCACTACAGTCCACTTTGCACAAATGTCCTTAACCCTTTGACTGTTTCAGGCCCCTTTCTGAAACTGTCATTCTATGTTGCTCAATTTTTGAAAAAAAAAAAAAAAAAAATATTTTTTCTTATGAAATGATAGAGAATCTTTTCCCGTTGGTAATGACACCAAAAGTTCGAAATTTGGTCGAAAACTCATGGAATTATGCTCCTGCGAAGTTAGCGGTCTCGGCGACATATGCGTATCGGCGATTTCGCCGACTTTGAGCCCTTTTTTCAGCCAATTCCTTTGTTTCAGTTGACCAAACTCATAGATATTTCTTTAGAACTCCATTTTATCTATCAGCTGAGTACAAGAAACCTCCCATTTACTAATTTGGACTACCCAATATGGTGGTCAGAAATTGGTAATTTGGCCAATTTCACACAAACTAAAAAAGATGCCAATTTCAAAATAGGGTCCAGAATAAACAAGGTAGACATTCGTGGCACTAAAATAACATATGCTCTGTTCATTAGTCACATCTCTAGGCCCCTCTTATATTATTATTGCTTTCTATTTTGATTTTTTATTCATACAAAAAAATATAAAATTTACTGTTATGCAGACTACTGCATTATTGCAAAAATTGTATAAATAATATCAGTGCACTAGTGAAAGAATATTAGACTCCCCAGAGTTGACGTGTATTGGACGTGTGGTGTGATTTATTTACTCCTGAACATTGGTAAAAATCGAACATTTCCGCTACTTTGAGCTCAGTTTCAAGGTCGTTTTCATCGTCAAAGTAATGAAAATCACCTCTATTTCTGTAATATGTTTTCCATTTTATCACCTAAGACCATGAAAACGCGAATACAACGATAAATACTATACGAAAATACACCTCAAATTCGGCGTTTTATTCCAAAAAAAAACGATCAGTTTTTTTTTTTTTTTTCAGTTTTTTTTCTCATTACGCAATGTGTGCTGCAGGATTTTTTTTATGTGGTGCACACTGACCACACAGACCCATTCTCTCACATGTGGGCCTACCAGCTTTCTCCCGCTTGATTTGAAGCCGCTAGAATTATTGAGTATATATACGTCAGAAACATTGGCTCGTAAGACGTATTTATACGTCGAAAACAGTCAAAGGGTTAATCTTTGAAAAAGGCAACTTCCTCCATCTCTCTTCCCCCTCTGAAGGAAATTCCTGAGTTTGAGTGATACACGAGTAAAGGCTTCACTTTGCAATCCCCACTAGCATTACTACAAAACATGAGAGTTAGCCTGTCTTTCATAGGCTTGTGTCCTGGGAGTGCCTTTTCCTCCTGAATAATGTAGGTCTTGTTTGGCATTTTCTTCCAAAACAGGCCTATTTCATCACAATTGAACACTTGTTGGGGTTTTAATTGTTCAGTCTCTGTGTACCCCTTAAAGTCCTGCACACATTTTTCAGCCACTTTTTTGTCAGAACTGGCAGCCTCACCATGCCTTATCACACTGTATGCCACTATGATTCTTAAATTTCTCAAACCAACCTTTGCTGGCCTTAAATTCATCAGTATGAGAACTAGTTCCCGACATTTTTCTTAATGAGATCGTCATGCAACTGCCTTGCTTTTTCACATATAATTGACTGTGAAACACTATCTCCTGATAATTGTTTCTTGTTGATCCATACCAACTACAGTCTCTCCACATCTTTGAGTATTTGCGATCTGTTTTGTAAGCACATTTGCACCTTTTGCAACAACAGCTTCCTTGATTGCCTTTTTGTTGGCGAAGATAGTAGTGATGGTTGTATGGGGTTTGTTATACAACCTGGCCAGCTCGGAGACACGCATTCCACTTTCGTATTTTGCGATGATCTTTCTTCAATTCAATAGTATTTCTCACCCTCTTTACCACAGGGCTAGCACTAGAAGCTTTCTTTGGACCCATGGTGGCTTATTTAGCAGTTACAAGCAATAAAAAAAATGGAATATTACAAAATGTATCGCATGTATGTGTGGAATTGTCCTCACTGGCTTGTAAACAACAGCACACTGGCTTTACATGGAGTGGCTGGGCCGCTCAGGCCACACGGACACATTCAGAACGAATGACTTTAACCGAGTTCTTTGTCGTTAACTGAGCCAATATTTTGATGCAAAAACGTGTCATTATCCAATGACGTTGTTAACTGAGGGTCCACTGTAAAGTTTATTTTATATATTATTACATAGGATTACATTTTATATTGTACTAACATACATGGGATAGCCCATAGTTATGCGGTGCATTTCAGGCAGACTTAAATATAATAGTTATAGAATACTACATAAATAATCTGCACATAGGAGAGAGGAGCTTACGATGACGTTTCGATTTGACTTGGACCATTTATAAAGTCACACTGACAAAAAGGAGAGGAGGGAGTATATATAAGCCAGCAGATAGGGACAGAACAGGAGAGGTAGTAGGAAAGGAAGAAGAGAAGTAGTGGTAAAGGTAGTAGTAGTGGTGGAGTCAAAGACTAAGAAAGAGGAGCACTGCAAGGGAGCTAGGGGCCCACAAAGGGTAGGAACAAGAAAATAGAGGTGGAAAAATAATAGGAGAAAGAGGAAAGGAGAAGGGGGAAAAAAGAATCAAGTGCTCTGAAGTTTGGAGCATTTTACAATGTAATGGGAAAGGAAAGCATCTACAGAGACAAAGCCAGGACTAAGATTCATACGAGGAAAGTTGTGTATAAGGGAGGATTCAACCAGATGGCGACTGTGAAAGTTAGACGTAGGGTAGACAGTTTTGGCAGAAGACCAGTCAATAGGATGACTGTGATCTCTGACATGGCAGAAAAGAGCATTGTTGGTGTTAGCAAACCTAACACTACTTTTGTGCTCCCCAAGTCTCAGAAAGAGAATGGCCAGTTTCACCAAAGTACTGAAGAGGACAAGAGGAGCAAGAAATAAGAGTAGACACCAGGAAAATCTGTAGAGGGAGGAGAGGTATGAACCAGATTGGTGTGAAGAGTGCTAGCCTGGCAAAAAGTAAGTTTGATGTCTAAGGAATGGAGAGAGTTGTTGAGATTAGAAAGACTGGAAATATAGGGAAGGCAGAGGACAGGAGAGTTCCCAGGAGTAGAGAGTTTGGGAGAGATAAAAGTCTGTTTAGCATGTGAGAAGGCAGAGTCTATGAAAAGGGAAGGGTAGCCAAGACGGGAAAATGGATTTTGAAGAGTGCAAATTTCTGATTCCAGGAACTGAGGATCACAAATGCAGAGAGCATGGAAAAAGAGGGAGATGAGAACACCTTTCTTGACAGAGAAAGCATAAGAAAAGTAGTGAATGTACATGCCACTGTGCATAGGCTTGTGGTACACGGAAAAAGCAAAACCTGTATCTGAACAGTGGACATGAACATAACTGACATGACTGACCTCATTGTGGAAGGAATTCTCTTGTGCTTGCTTGCATTTTTTATACATTTGGCCAAATTTCTTTTTTCTAACTATGGATCCTAAGAAAGTAAGTGTAAAGGACAGTGCTGAGAAGAAAAAGAGGATGATTTCTATGGAATTAAAGCATGAAATCATGGATAAACAAAAGCAAGGTATGCAGTTGTAGACTTAGCCAGGCATTACCAGCGTATTACATCTGCAGTATGTACGATACTAAAGCAGCAGGAGTTGATAAAGGCTATAGCGCCAGCCATGGGCGTTACAATAATTTCTAAGAGATAGAGTGCAGCAAGTAAGTTAAGTGGTTAAGCAATAGAAGAACGAAATGAAACTAACTCCTCCAATGTTGTTGGAGGTTTATAGGGCCACTGACATCATATACCACACTGCCTATCTCCCACCCTGAACCTCCGCCATCTCTGCTCCAAGCGTGTAAGTACACTTTATATAAACAGTTTATTTCTTTACATTCTCTATTATGTTTTATTTTTATACAATATTTCTTATTTATAAATACATTGTTTCAGTGTTTTCCTTATGATCTAGTACAGTTAGCCTCATAAACGCTCGGTTTTCTCTTATAATAAGAGCATGGGAAGATACTATAGTCAGAGCAGGAGAGGGAATGGACTCTGCCGCCGCCACGACTACTCAAATTCAAAGTTTATTCTCTATAAGGATTACAATGCTGAGTTTACAGAATTTGGTTATTGTGTGGTTTACATGTAGTAAAATACTAATTACAGAGGGGGCCACTAGCACACCTAGCATGGCTAGGCATTTCGGGCAGACTTAGATTAATTCTTAACTTTAAAATATTACAAATTATGAGGTAAGTTGGTATTATGGCTAAGTGACTCAACATGTTATGGCCTATTTTATTCATTCTAGCATATATATCATGTTTCTGTGTTAATTATATTGTTTATTATGTCATATTAGATGAATTGATAGATAAATAAGCCGTAGAGTTGATATTAGTGTCATATAGAAGTATTTTGTCCTGCCTCCAGAGAGCAAGAATTCCGCTGGAATGGATTAATGGTATTTCATTTAATTTAAATGGGGAAAATTGATTTGATATACGAGCAAATTGAGTTACGAGCTAGGTCATGGAACGGTTTAAACTTATAAGTCGAGGTTCCACTGTATGATACAATTTATGGGTGAAGAAGATGTACATGAGAATGAAGACCAGATGAATATTCAGCAGAAAGTTTTCATAGATGTGTGTGACATAATATACTGCTATCATGAGGTACATGAAGTAGTTGGTAGAGTATATATCATGTACAATGCTTGGAGGAGTCAAATGGTTAGTTAAATCTTTTATATAAATGATCACCCAGATGCAAGTTATAGATTCATTGCTCATCTAACTGTCATTGACTGTGATACTAAGCCTAGTTTCTCTTAGGTACAGTTCCTCCAAGGGGTTTTAAGGATGTCCTTGTTGCTGAGGGACCAGAGGGCTTTGCTAAAGCTGTGAGAAACCACAAAGGACTCCTGCTAATGGACACTACATTCAGGGATGCCCATCAGTCCCTCCTTGCTACACGAGTCCGTACTCATGACCTCCTAAAGGTAGAAACTTTACTGTATTATAATTGCTTTATCATGTGGCCAATTACATGTATAATTTTTATAAGTTCCAGGAAATGCCATTGTGTAGATATATCAAAGCTGCGAGTGTATGAGGTACTGAAATTGGTGGTGCACCTTTTTTTTTTTTTTTCTCAGAATGGTAGAGGCCATTGTGAAAAACATTTATAAATTAATGAAGTTTTAGTATAAAGATTCATGGGGTGCATCTGCAAGAAGATGTATTTGAAATTTACTGAGTTATAAATTTTACTTAATTCTGTACAGTTGGTTGACAATGTGTATAAAATTATTCTGATGTAGATTATGGAGTAGTGTTAAAAGTTTAAGTGCATTCAGCAGTTTGTGGTTACTGGAGGTTGAATGCAAAAGGAAATGTTAGTGAAAGGAGGTAAAAGAGGATAGTAATGGAGAAAGATCGCATATGAAAACCATTGTAACATGTAAAAATGTTATTTAGCAAACTTTCACCACATTTAAAAAACATAGTGAAAATTTGCTAAATAACAAATTAAAAAGTGTAAATTATCAACAGATTTTGCTGAGAATAAGGAACAATTTTGGTGAAAACTTAGGATGCAAATAGACTTAACAATTCATAAGATATTGGATAAGGTGGTGGTATATACAAAATATTTTGAGAAATTGTTAAATGTACAGATTTACCTGAGGTGAAGATTTCATGTATATAGCAGGAATGAAAAAAAAAAATGCTATGAGGAAAAGCAGTGAGGGGACAGATAGGATTTAGAGAAGATGCTGACATTAGATGGGAGCAAGGTATGAGACTGGTTGGTGCTTTTGTCTTGGGTATGAAAAATGCAAAGGTATCTATGACTTAGTAGAGCATGCTTAGTTTTTTAAATAAATAAAATGGAGTAAGAGTAGGAATTATGCTGTCAAGGAATGTCTGTTGTTCATAATGGTATAATGTGTTTTTTATTATGCAGAGAATGTTGGTACAGTTTGCATTGAGGTATCTGTGGAGACAAAAGACGTTATCTATGGAGGGAAAGAGGGGAATATACGAGAGTATAGTGGTACCAACACTTTTATATGGGTGTGAGGCATGGGTTGTAAATGCTGCAGGGAGGAGGTGGCTGGAGGCAGTGCAGATATCGTGTCTAAGGGCAATGTGTGGCGTAAATATTATGCAGAGAATTCATAGTGTGGAAATTAGGAGGTGGTGTGGAGTTACTAAAAGTATTATTCAGAGGGCTGAAGAGGGACTGTTGAGGTGGTTTTATCATTTAGAGAGACTGGAACAAAGTAGAATGATTTAATCATTTGTAATGTAGAATAAGAATCATTATTAGTCTGCCCAAAATGCCTAGGCTTGCTAGGCATGCTAGTGGCCTTCTTTGTAATTGTTTTATAATATGTAAACTACCCATTGTAATCTTTACAGAGAAATAAACATTTCAAGTTCAATTTGGAGAGTGTATAAATCTGTTGGGGAAGGAAGGCGGGGTAGAAGTTGTCCCCGAAAAGTTTGGAGGGAGGGGGTAGAGGAGGTTTTGTGGGTGAGGGGCTTTGACTTCCTGTAAGCATATGAGAGCGTGTTAGATAGGGGTGAACGAAAGTGAATGGTTTTTGGGACACGACGAGCTGTTGGAGTGTGAGCAGGGTAATATTTTGTGAAGGGATTCAGGGAAACCGGTTAGCCGGACTAGAGTCCTGGAAATGGGAAGTACAATGCCTGCACTTTCAAGGTGGTGTTTGGGATATTGACTGTCATATATTGAGCGCCTCTGCAAAGACAGTGATTATGTATGAGTGATGGTGAAAGTATTGATTGATGATGAAAGTTTTTTCTTTTTGGGTCACCCTGCCTCAGTGGGAAATGGCCGACGTGTTAAAACAATTTTAGTGCAATACTGTTATAAAATTTTTTTACTTATTTACTTCAGTGATTTCATTTTTATGCTGTATATTACTGCACATTTTTATTTTTCAGATCTCTCCATTTGTGTCACATAACTTCAACACACTCTATTCACTAGAAAATTGGGGAGGTGCCACTTTTGATGTAGCTCTTAGGTTCTTGCACGAATGCCCTTGGGAACGATTGGAATCTATGCGGAAGCTTATCCCTAATATTCCTTTCCAAATGCTCCTCAGAGGTGCCAATGGTGTTGGATACACAAGCTATCCTGATAATGCTGTGTACAAGTAGGTTCATTTTAATATATGTATTTATTACTCTTAATACTTTGATTTTTTAACTTTAAAAGCATTTTAATTAAAATAGGTTTAAGTTTTCATCATTGTAGCAGCTGCTTGTTTTTTTCCAACAAACCGGCCGTATCCCACCAAGGCAGGGTTGCCCAAAAAGAAATTTAGTAAATTTAGCAAAGCTGCTACTTGTAAGGCTTAAATAAATTTAAATGCTAGAAAACAGTATGTTATATTTTTGTCTTTAATTATGAAAGGTTCCCTTCAATTTTATATATTATAATATTTAACAGACCAATTTTATTTGCAGGTTCTGTGAGCTATCAGTAAAGGCAGGAATGGATATCTTCAGAGTATTTGATTCTCTCAATTATCTACCAAATCTTGTGCTTGGAATAGATGCTGTTGGTAATGCAGGTAAGCTTCTATATACTGTATAATACCCAAGTTTATGCAGTCAGTGTCCTTTTGACACTTGAGATGCCTTTCATAGTGCCACTTACTTTAGCTTGAATATGGTAGCACTGTTTAAATGACCAGAATAGTAAATAGTTCAATAATTTTCATTGTATACTATAGAATCCTGCTTAACTTGAGGCTTTTCACACTTGATTGTGGATGGAATTAAGCTATCATATTCTTTCTTGAGAAGCACCAGCTACTGAGGTGGGATATTGTGCTTAGTCATGCTCTTTATCATATGAGTATGATAAAACTAAATTGTCAAAATGAAAAAAATGGAAAGCAAGCAATATTGGATGTTATGTTTTTTTTTTTTTTTTTAAGCCAAGGATTTATGAATGTAGTTTCACCTTTCTGTTAGCCTAGTTTTCCAAAAAGTCTATATTAAAGCTCTATTACAGGTGGTGTTGTTGAAGCAGCAATTTCATATTCTGGTGACATCTCTGACCCCAGCAAGAAAAAGTACACCTTGGATTATTATATGAAGCTAGCCGATGAGTTGGTTAAAGCAGGGATACATGTTCTTTGTATCAAGGTATGATAACATTGACTGTATTACCCTATATTGGCTTTTGTTTGACTTTGAAATTGTATGGTAAAAATATTTTTTAATTCTTTCATTGGAAGTATATGTATGTATTTTTTATATACATTTTTGAATGCATAGGACATGGCTGGACTGTTAAAGCCACGAGCAGCAAAACTGCTCATATCTCGCCTGCGAGAGCGTTATCCAGACCTACCCATTCATGTTCACACTCATGACACATCTGGTGCTGGTAAGATATACTGGATAAGGAGCTAACACATGATGGCTAATATTTAGAATTTGAGGAAGTTAATGCAATATAATCTTATTTAACTTTTTTTTTTTTTTTTTTAATTTGTAACTTCTCTTCCTCACAGTAAGAAAGTGCCTTGAACATTACAATTGAAACAAGTCATAGCAGTAATATGGCTTGTAGGCAACTTGTGGATAATTGTCATATTTTTACAGGTGTTGCTTCTATGTTGGAATGTGCCTATGCTGGTGCTGATGCTGTTGATGTTGCTGTTGATTCTATGTCGGGCATGACTTCTCAGCCCTCCATGGGTGCTGTTGTTGCCAGTTTAATGGGACATGAACTAGACACAGGGATGAATTTGAATGATGTCAGTCAGTACTCTGCCTTCTGGGAACAAACTCGTACACTTTATGCTCCATTTGAATGTGCAGTAACCATGAAGTCTGGTAATGCAGATGTTTATCAGAATGAAATACCAGGAGGCCAGTATACCAATCTCCAGTTCCAGGTAAAGTAATTTAAAATTTCCTAAAACTAGTAAGAATTTAGCTGAACTAAGTGTGGGAAATACAATGACTGCACTTTAAAGGAGGGGTTTGGGATGTTGGCTGTTTGGAGTGACATCTGACCTGTCGTATCTGAGCACCTCTGCAAAAACAGTAATTGTGTGAATGACGGTGAAAATGTTGAAAAAAAAAAAAAAGTTTGAGAAAATGTCTTCTGTATTTCAATTTACATTATTAGTAAACTTTGGAAATCCTACATCTTGCTATATTTCCCAGACCTATGACTTTCATTTTATACTCCTCATGTTGCTGCAGCTAAAAAAAAAAATTTCTTATGTCTTAAAATACTCCATGCATGCTGAATTTCTCTTCTCATGCAATGGATGGGAATAAAAAATATGGCAGGCCTGTCTTAAAACTAGCAGGCTAGAATTAACTTTGTTACCTTAGTATTTTTTAATGTATATGACTGATATTTGAACAAATGTTGGAGAAAATGTTTCAATTGCTATTCATCCTGAGTGTTTTAGATAATGAGTGTAGGCAAGTGGTTTTTATGATTTAACATGCTGTTGGAGTGTGAAAAAGGTAACATTTGTGAAGGATTTCAGGGAACTGGTTAGCGAGATTTGAGTCTTGGAAGTGGGAAGTATTTCCTGCACACTGAAGGTAAGGTGGGGATGTTGTGATTTAGAGAATCATCTGAACTGATGTTGGTGCCCTTTTGGCATGATAGTGATTGAATGAGCAAGTGTGTTTTCTTTGTCAAGTCACTCTACCTCAGTTGGAGATGGCCGTAGTGTTGAAAAATGAAAAATACATGGCTGAATCTTTCCATTTAATCCTCTTGGTTTGTGTTCATCACACAGTACATGAACTGTGCTTTTCAGGCATTCTCCCTTGGATTGGGTGATCAGTTTGAGGCTGTGAAGAAAGCATATAGAGAAGCAAATCTTCTTCTTGGAGATTTGATCAAGGTGAAGTAATGACTTGACTTTTACTTTTCGACTCTTAATCTAAATTAAATGATATACTGTACTTCACAATCTTATTTACTGTATACAATTGCATTATTATTATTATTATTATTATTATACCATGAAATAAATTACTGAATCACTTGAGTACTGTAGTAGTTTTGGGCCAAGAGATAATGTGGTATGAGCGAGTGCATATGTACATACATAGCTGGTCCTCAAGCAAAGTTGGCCTTCGTATAATTTTTGTTAGGTTTTTAATTTTTTTTTTTTTTAGTATTGGAATATCTATCTGCTGTACATTTAGTTCATATTTGATTTTTTTTTTTTTAACCTTTCAATTGCCATCACTTTGTTGCATCTTGAAGGGCTTGTTAGAAGCAAAATAAAACACAAATGTCTATTCCATATATCAAATAATTGCCTTTTTTTTTGGGGGGGGGGGGGTCTTCAATCTGTTCATTCTCAAGGTGATTATATACTGAATTATAATGGTGTTTTTTTTTTTTTTTTTTTTTTTTTTTTTTTTTTTTTTTTATAACTTGAACAGGTAACACCATCATCAAAAGTAGTAGGAGACTTGGCTCAGTTCATGGTACAGAACAAACTGTCTGCTGCAGATGTTGAAGCAGGGGCAGAGAATCTTAGCTTCCCCAAGTCTGTCATAGAATTTGTCCAAGGATACTTGGGTGAGCCTTATGGAGGATTCAGTGAACCACTTCGAACAAAGGTCAGTGCTTCTTGTGTTTCCAGTTATGTATAATAGTAAATAAGAGTTTGCTGTATTGCTTGTTTAAGATTTATTAAAGATATAAAATGTGTCAGATCTTAGTCTTAATTTTTGCTATTATACATAAGTATTCCAGAGATCCACAGATGTGACATCTTTGAAGAAAACAAAGATTAGAAAAAGTCATTTTAAAAAAATTAAATTATTAAAGTATTGTCAAAAATGACTTGATGACTTCCTACTCACTGTGCAGTGATTTCTCTCTTGGAATAGTGCATAGTAATGCATCAGAGCCTCTGGCCCTAAGTGCAGTGCACAGAGAGACTTGTAGTAGACAGAATAATATATTGGGCACATTTTGCACTTGACTGTTTTAATGCAATAACTATTTATGATTAGTGAATCAGTGGTCTTTCACTTAATAACCATAATTTCAAATGATGCCCAGGAAACCTAGGACTGTTCCAGACTGGCATTCCCCTCTCCTTTGTCCCCCAATTAACAATGGCTTTCTCGTACAACAACCAGATACTGTAATTTATATTGCCTTTCACCACAGGTCCCCACAGATGCATCTGAATTTTCTGCTTCCTGTATCACATCCCTGTGGGAGAGATGGGGACCAATTTTGTGAGAGAGAGAGAGAGAGAGGAGCAACATCATATTATATACTATCCCTCTCACCTTTCTTCCATCCTTCATCAGAGATGCATCCATTATATAGTAGAGGCATAGTGGCATTATATTGTGTTTTTATGAGTGCATAACACAATAACTATGAAAAAATTTACCAAAACATTGAGGAAGACTTTCAAAGAAAAGTAAAATTAGGGGAAATATGAACTTTAAATATACTGTAAAATAAGGAAAGGCCTATTGAATCAAAATAGATAAGAGATGAGAAAAACTTAGAGAATTAGGCTCAGTCCCACCCACCAAATAGTTTCTCGTATCACAACAAGGGATAAACTAGAAATTAAATAATCTATATAATGGTTACTATATTTTTGTCACTGCAGATGCTGAAGGGTTTGCCAACAGTAAAGGGACGTCCTGGAGCAACGATGGCTCCTTTAGACTTCGCTGCAATTAAATCTAAACTCTCTGAAGAGCATGGCCCACGTATAACTGAGTATGATGTTCTGAGTTATGCTATGTATCCTAAGGTGGGCATAGACTTCATTTATTAAAGTATTATTTTTACTATTAGTAGCTTCCTTAAGGGAGGTTCCTTGATGCCTGTGAGGGGCTCTTGATCTAGGGCATTGGACCTATGCTCCCCTTCTTTTGATTGAATCTGACCTCCTTACCATCCACCCTTTTCCCCAGGTGCTGTATGACCCCTACTAGTTCAGTGCTTCCATCATGACTGTAATGTAGCTACATGTACAGAGCTAAGCTTGTGATATTTAACCCTTTCATTGTTGAGACCCCTGCTCACAAACTTTCTCTGTGTCGAAGAATTTAAAAAAAAAAAAAATCTTTTGAAATGATAGCAAATCTTTTCCCGGTGGTAATGACACCAAAAGTACAAAATTTGATGGAAAACTTATGGAATTATGCTCTCACAAATTTAGTGGTCTCAGCGATATATGCGCATCAGCGATTTCATCCACTTTGAGCCCTATTTTTGGCAAATTCCATTGTTCCAGTTGACCAATCTGTTATTTCACTGAACTTCATTTGTTCTATCAACTGAGTACAAGAAACCACCCATTTACCAATTTCAGCTACCCAATGAAGTGGTCAGAAATTGGCAATTTGGCCAATTTCACACAAATTTCAAAAGATGGCAATTTCAAAATACAGTGGAACCTTGCCTTAAGAGTTTAATACATTCCAGGAGCTAGCTTGTAACTCAATATACTTGTATATCAAATTAATTTTTCGTTTAAATTAATTGAAAAGTCATTAATCCGTTCCTGCACTCTGGAGAGATGACGAAAAAATAGTTAAATATGACTATTATCAACTGTACTGCTTATTTGTTTCACAATTCATCTAATATGACATAATAAACAGTATAATTAACACAGAAACATGATATATACTCTAGAATGAATAAAATAGGCCATAATATGGTGGCAGAGGCAGCAGCAGATGTGTCCACCATTTTCTGTCTAACTTTGACTATATAGTATCTTCTCATGCTCTTATTGTAAGAGAAAACTGAGTATTTTTGAGGCTAACTGCAGTAGATCACTAGTTTTCTATGGAAAGCACTGAAAATATTGTATATAAACACACAAATCAAATGCACTACAGAATGTAAAGAAATAATAAACTGTTTATATAAAGTGTAATGTACTTACACCCCTTGGAGCAGAGATGGTGGTAGCGGCTGAGTGTGGAGGAGGTTGAGGGTGGGAGATTCGCAGTGCGGCGTATGAAGATAGTGCCCCTGTAAACCTCCAACAACAACGTTTTGTTTCATCGCTGAACTTAACTCGTACAATTTGTTTCAGTAATGTTAAATGATCAGTTATGGAAGGAGAAAAGAGAATATGAAATGTGTAAATTCAAGAATTATGTGGATTAAAGTAAAGGTTGGGTGCGAGAAGTGGGTCATAATAAGCGTGTATGCACCTGGAGAAGAGAGGAATGCAGAGGAGAGAGAGAGATTTTGGGAGATGTTAAGTGAATGTATAGGAGCCTTTGAACCAAGTGAGAGAGTAATTGTGGTAGGGGACCTGAATGCTAAAGTAGGAGAAACTTTTAGAGAGGGTGTGGTAGGTAAGTTTGGGGTGCCAGGTGTAAATGATAATGGGAGCCCTTTGATTGAACTTTGTATAGAAAGGGGTTTAGTTATAGGTAATACATATTTTAAGAAAAAGAGGATAAATAAGTATACACGATATGATTTTAGGGCGAAATGACAGTAGTTTGTTGAATTATGTATTGGTAGATAAAAGACTGTTGAGTAGACTTCAGGATGTACATGTTATAGGGGCCACAGATATAAACAGATCACTTTCTAGTTGTAGCTACACTGAGAGTAAAGGTAGATGGGATACAAGGAGAATAGAAGCATCAGGGAAGAGAGAGGTGAAGGTTTATAAACTAAAGAGGAGGCAGTTAGGTAAGATAAACGCTATTGGAGGATAGATGGGCTAATGAGAGCATAGGCAATGGGGTCGAAGAGGTATGGGGTAGTTTTAAAAATGTAGTGTTAGTGTTCAGCAGAAGTTTGTGGTTACAGGAAAGTGGGTGCAGGAGGGAAGAGGAGTGATTGGTGGAATGATGATGTAAAGAGAGTAGTAAGGGAGAAAAAGTTAGCATATGAAAGTTTTTACAAAGTAGAAGTGATGCAAGGAGGGAAGAGTATATGGAGAAAAAGAGAGAGGTTAAGAGAGTGGTGAAGCAATGTAAAAAGAGAGCAAATGAGAGAGTGGGTGAGATGTTATCAACAAATTTTGTTGAAAATAAGAAAAAGTTTTGGAGTGAGATTAACAAGTTAAGAAGCCTAGAGAACAAATGGATTTGTCCAGTTAAAAATAGGAGAAGAGAGTTATTAAATGGAGAGTTAGAGGTATTGGGAAGATGGAGGAATATTTTGAGGAATTGTAAATGTTGATTAAGATAGGGAAGCTGTGATTTCGTGTATAGGGCAAGGAGGAATAACATCTTGTAGGAGTGAGGAAGAGCCATTGTGAGTGTGGGGGAAGTTCGTGAGGCAGTAGGTAAAATGAAAGGGGTAAGGCAGCTGGGATTGATGGATAAAGATAGAAATGTTAAAAGCAGGTGGGGATATAGTTTTGGAGTGGTTGGTGCAATTATTTAATAAATGTATGGAAGAGGGTAAGGTACCTAGGGATTGGCAGGAGAGCATGCATAGTTCCTTTGTATAAAGGCAAAGGGATAAAAGAGAGTGCAAAAATTATAGGGGGATAAGTCTGTTGAGTGTACCTGGTAAAGTGGTATGGTAGAGTTATAATTGAAAGAATTAAGAGTAAGACGGAAAATAGGATAGCAGATGAACAAGGAGGCTTTAGGAAAGGTAGGGGGTGTGTGGACCAGGTGTTTACAGTGAAACATATAAGTGAACAGTATTTAGATAAGGCTAAAGAGGTCTTTGTGGCATTTATGGATTGGAAAAGGCATATGACAGGGTGGATAGGGGGGCAATGTGGCAGATGTTGCAAGTGTATGGTGTAGGAGGTAGGTTACTGAAAGCAGTGAAGAGTTTTTACGAGGATAGTGAGGCTCAAGTTAGAGTATGTAGGAAGAGGAAATTTTTTCCCAGTAAAAGTAGGTCTTAGACAAGGATGTGTGATGTCACCGTGGTTGTTTAATATATTTATAGATGGGGTTGTAAGAGAAGTAAATGCGAGGTCTTGGCAAGAGGCGTGGAGTTAAAAGATAAAGAATCACACACAAAGTGGGAGTTGTCACAAGCTGCTCTTTGCTGATGACACTGTGCTCTTGGGAGATTCTGAAGAGAAGCTGCGGGAGATTGGTGGATGAATTTGGTAGGGTGTGCAAAAGAAGAAAATTAAAGGTGAATACAGGAAAGAGTAAGGTTATGAGGATAACAAAAAGATTAGGTGATGAAAGATTGAATATCAGATTGGAGGGAGAGAGTGTGGAGGAGGTGAACATATTCAGATATTTGGGAGTGGACGTGTCAGCGGATGGGTCTATGAAAGATGAGGTGAATCATAGAATTGATGAGGGAAAAAGAGTGAGTGTTGCACTTAGGAGTCTGTGGAGACAAAGAACTTTGTCCTTGGAGGCAAAGAGGGGAATGTATGAGAGTATAGTTTTACCAACGCTCTTATATGGGGTGTGAAGCGTGGGTGATGAATGTTGCAGCGAGGAGAAGGCTGGAGGCAGTGGAGATGTCATGTCTGAGGGCAATGTGTGGTGTGAATATAATGCAGAGAATTCGTAGTTTGGAAGTTAGGAGGAGGTGCGGGATTACCAAAACTGTTGTCCAGAGGCTGAGGAAGGGTTGTTGAGGTGGTTCGGACATGTAGAGAGAATGGAGCGAAACAGAATGACTTCAAGAGTGTATCAGTCTGTAGTGGAAGGAAGGCGGGGTAGGGGTCGGCCTAGGAAGGGTTGGAGGGAGGGGGTAAAGGAGGTTATGTGTGCGAGGGGCTTGGACTTCCAGCAGGCATGCGTGAGCGTGTTTGATAGGAGTGAATGGAGACAAATGGTTTTTAATACTTGACGTGCTGTTGGAGTGTGAGCAAAGTAACATTTATGAAGGGATTCAGGGAAACCGGCACGCCGGACTTGAGTCCTGGAGATGGGAAGTACAGTGCCTGCACTCTGAAGGAGGGGTGTTAATGTTGCAGTTTAAAAACTGTAGTGTAAAGCACCCTTCTGGCAAGACGGTGATGGAGCGAATGATGGTGAAAGTTTTTCTTTTTCGGGCCACCCTGCCTTGGTGGGAATCGGCCAGTGTGATAATAAAAAAAAAAAATAACTGATACAATTGGTTTTGTTAAATCACTGAACATAACTTATGCAATTTGTTTTGTTAAATCACTGAACATAACTGATACAATTTGTTTTGTTTAACTTTTCACTGCCTCGTGCCTTCTCGCAGATGATACCCTCAGTCATGGTGTCTCCTGCGAGCTGCTTCTCCTTCAACCACATCAGCAGCAGCTTCTCCATCTTTTCGTGGACAGAGGTCCACAGCTTAGACATTTTCATGCCCTTGGCTGGCGCTATAGCCATTATCGACTCCTGCTGCTTTGGTATTGTACATATACTAGATGTACTTCGCTGGTATTGTCTGGCTAAATCCACAACTCGTGCACCTTGCTTATGTTTATCTATGATTTCATGCTTTAATTCCTTGGAAATCGTCTTTTTCTTCTCAGCACTGTCCTTTACACTTATTTTCTTAGGACCCATGGTTAGAAAAGCAAAATTTGGCCAAATGACTGTCAGAAATGTAAGCAAAGCAGGAGAGAACTGCTCCCACAGCGATGTAAACGTGTACTGCTTACCGGATGTTTTGAAATTGGTTGCGCCAACTAGTGGCAGCATTCATAACTATTATTATGTAGGTATTATGTATATAATATGTACATAATTGTAATAGTTATAATTATGATTGATAATTTAGGGAACTGAAGCTCTATCATTATTATAATAATTATTTTTATTATTATTATTATTAATTGAGGGAACTAGAGCACATATCCAATTCCCAGATCACAAGCCCTTCACCAGCGTCAAGGAACCTCGATGTTGGTGAGGGGCTTCAGTTCCCTAAATTATTATCAATAATAATTATAATAATAACTATAGAGCTTCAGTTCCATAAATTAATAATAATAATACATTATTATAACAACGAGAGCTTCAGAACGAAGCCAACTCGGTGCACTGTTTACCTAGCTGTGGGAGCAGTTCTTTCCTGCTTTGCTTATGTTTCTGACAGTCATATGGCCAAATTTCACTTTTCTAACCATGGGTGCTAAGAAAGTAAGTGTAAAGGACAGTGCTGAGAAGAAAAAAGGATAATTTCCATGGAATTAAAGCATGAAATCATAGATAAACAAGAGGTGTCCAGGTTTTGGGTTGAGGGGGAAGTGGGGGGGGGAGTTGACTCGTAACTCAAATGTTGGCTTGTAACTCAGAGCAAAAAACTCGTACGTTGGGACACTCGTAAGTCAAGGTTCCACTGTAGGGTCCAGAATAAACAATGCAGACATTCCTGGTACTAAAATAATATTTTCTCTGTTCATTAGTCACATCTCTCTCTCTGTAACATATCTTCCATTCTATCAAATGAGACCAAGAAAATGAGAATACAACTATAAATACCATATGAAAATACACCTCAAAGTCTGCATTTTAAACCAAAACTGCTGTCCGAGTTTTTTCTTACACTGTGTGCTGCAGGATTTTTTTTATACTGCGCACACTGACTACGCAAACCCATTTTCTCACATGTAGGTCTACAGCTTTCTCCTGGTAGATTTGAAGCCGCTAAAATTTTGGCGTATTAATACATCACTGACACTGGCTTGTAAGCCGTGCCTATAAAGTATCCAAAACGGTGGGGATCCTCTCCAAGATACGATACTATGTGCCGCAAACTGCCCTTCTTACACTATACCATTCACTTATATGTCCATACCTCACCTATGCTATCTGTGCTTGGGGTTCAACTGCAGCAACACACCTAAAGCCAATAATAACCCAACAAAAAGCCGCAGTAAGAATAATCACTAAATCCCATCCCTGGCAACACACCCCCCCACTCTTCATAGATCTAAACTTACTCCCTGTTCAGAACATCCACACTTACTACTGTGCAATCTATATCTACAGGACCTTAAATTCCAATATTAACCTTGACCTAAAACGCTTTCTTGATAGTTGTGACAGGATCCGCAGGCATAACACCAGACACAAACATCTCTGACATTCCCCGTGTCCAACTAAACCTTTACAAAAATTCAATGTATTTCAAAGGACCTAAAATCTGGAACACCATACCTGTAAACTCTAGAACTGCAGACACACTCATCACTTTCAAAACTACAGTTAGAAAACGTCTTATCTCCCTGATACACCCCGACAACTAACTACATGATAACCACCTGGTGGTTCACAATTACACTCACTCACCCACTGACTATAAACACAGAAATACTAATCTTAATCTTAAAATAATGAATCTTAACTAGTCATAAGTTTGCCTATGATACTCCAATATAGACACTTTGTATTGTGCTAAAACAAAGGCATTCACATTGCTAAACTCGCAAATTATAATGTAGTCACCTAGCCTTAATACCATAATCTGTAAGGATTTAATGTTAAGAATTAATCTAAGTCTGCCCGAAATGCCTAGCCATGCTAGGTGTCCTAGTGGCCCCCTCTAATTAGTATTTTATAACAGGTAAACCACACAATATCCAAATCCTGTAAACCCCACATTGTAACCCTTATAGAGAACTTGATTTGATTTGATATGTCACTGACAGTGTATCAATTAAAAATTTTTTTGTTGTGCTTACCAACTCTTAAAACTTGCATGTTGTTACAGTATCTTTACATTCATGGGAGAAGTGCTGTACTTGATTTTTACATTTGTGGACAAAGCACTAAATTTGTAGGGGTTATATAGCTACTGGGAAATGGGAGGCAGTTAGATTAAGTAAAAGGAAAGGTATGGTAGATCCAGTTCTTTGGATCAAGACCCCTTTGCTACCATTAAGGCACCTCCCTTAAAAAGAGCATGCATTGTTTATTATAATTATTATTCTTTCTTCAAAAACAACTTGCTAGTATCTAGTTCGTAATTCTCTAGTGTATAACTAGGGCCTGTTATTTTACTTATTGATGTTAAGCTTCTTCCTTATTAATTCTTTTAAATTTATTAAATTAAAAGCTGGAAGCATGTCTAATGCTCTGACTTTATTTGTAATTCTAATACTTTTAGCTGTGTGTCATTTTGTAGTTAATCCTTGGAATTTTTCTAGCCTGTCAAGATGGAGATTTTTTTTAACGTTTGAATACCATACCACTGTTGTCTACTCTGGTTTTGGTTTATGTATGTTGTAAACAAGTTTTAAGCATTTCCCATCCATATACCATAAAGGCTGTTTTGAAATTGGCAATTTCATGGATTTTTTTTGTACTAGATTTCAATAATGTTATCCTCCAGTGACCATCTTTTGTTGGCAACGACTCATAGGTCTGTCTCTTTGATGCTTTTAATGTTTAATTACATAATCTATTTGTATGGCCTATTTTTATTTTCCCCTATTTTTATTACATGACACTTGCCCATGTTAAATTCCATCTTCCATATCTCTCTCCACTTACTTCATCAGTCCAGGTCATCATTTTTATTGCTTATATTTATATTTTTTGGTGAAGGAATTTTAATTCCAGTTGCAGATAATTGTAATTGTGATGTTTGTTCATCTCAGATGATGAGTGAATGAATTCAGGTGAATGTATTTTCTACTTTGTATCACTTTGTCTTGGCAGTAACAGCCAGTTGTTTACTGAAAATATAGATTCTCCCTGAATTTTTATCATAGTGATTCATTACACAGGGAATGATAGCTCTCATGTTTATCTGATGCCCTGTCACAACTGTACTTGATGGCAGCAATGGTATTACTGTACGTGTGTGCTTTTCCACAATTTTCTTTTTAAATAGCTGCTGTAGTGTGGAAAATGCATTGCAGCCGATATTTAAATTTTCAATAGTCTAACCTGTATCAAATTAGATTACCACAATAAAATTAAATATAAATATACAAATTACTATAAGTGTTTAGAAATATATTACCTTTTGTTTTTCTTCCACAGGTAACTGAAGACTTTCTCTTCTTCTGCAACAAGTATGGTCCTGTCGATAAACTTGACACTCGCATCTTCCTTACTGGCCCCAAGGTAATAATTCCTTTGATTTGCTCAATATTGCAGTATTAATCAGTACAATAAACAAATAACCCCCTCATAGAGAGGAAACTTTAGATGACATTTCAGTCCATTCTTGACCATTGAAGTAAAGTTTCAAAATGGTCCAAAATGGACTGAAATGTATAAAAGTTTCCTCTCTCTAAGTGTGGGTTATTTGTAAATTATTTGAGCCACAATGTTGTAACTTTTATTCTTCTGTATTAATAGGTAGACCTGAGACCTCCCCGATACACATTACACGACTCCATTGGCTTAACACTGGGGAAAGGTGTGAGGGAGGGCAATGAGATGTAAACAAACTAGCTCAGTTTTTCCTTCTGTACATCACCCTGTCTCATTTCTAAATTTTTATCATTGCTTCCCAATGAAGTTCAGGTGACACTGGCGAAGCAAGGAAGAATAAGCGTGTAATATGCCAGTTATGAAAAAAAACTGGAGGTAATTGAGATGCTGAAGGGTTGTACATGTATTATGGAGAGGCAAGATTGTATGGTGTTAGAGAATTAATGATTCTTTCAATTTGGAGATGAGGCAAAGATAAGGCTTGTGCAATCCTCAGTGCAACAGTGAAAATGAGGAATAGGTCCACAGCCACCCTCTCCACTCATGAACCTGACTGGAAGGAAAGTAGCAAATACAGTATTAATGTAACCATTTTTTAGTTAATGGCCTTTGTTTTAACTGTCTGAACCTCACTAGAGTTCAGGTATGTCAGAGAATCATCAACCATGTTAGGCAAGAAAAACTATTTTTATGACAGCATTCACCCAGGGAAGTTCTATCGTCCTGCCAGATGAGTGTGAAATGAAAACCTGTAATTGTTTTACACAGTGGTAGGATTGCTGGTGTCTTTCCTGTCTCATAGACACACAGTATAACAGTTACATATTGCCACTTCTTGCTCTTATGTCACACTACAAATGTACAGTGGTACCTCAGGATACGAACAGATCAAAACGCGAACTATTACGTAAGTGCTTTTGTAAGTGTATTTTTGGGGGTCTGAAACGGATGAATCTAATTTACATTATTCCTTATGGGAAAAAATCCATTCGGTATCAGCACTCAAACAGCCTTCTGGAACGAAATAAATTCGTATCCCGAGGTACCACTGTATATACACGTACAGTGGAACCTCAAAAATCGAACTTAAGCCGTTCCAGGAGCTAGTTCTAAATTCGAAAAGTCTGAAATTCGAAGCAATATTTCCCATAAGAAATAATGGAAATACAATTAATCCATTCCAGAAACCCAAAAATATTCACACAAAAAATACATTTTAGAGATTAATTACAGTTTTACATACAACAAATACTATAGTTTTTAATTATGTATTACCTGGAGAGAGTTCCGGGGGTCAACGCCCCCACGGCCCGGTCTGTGACCAGGCCTCCTGGTGGATCAGAGCCTGATCAACCAGGCTGTTGCTGCTGGCTGCACGCAAACCAACGTACGAGCCACAGCCCGGCTGATCCGGAACTGACTTTAGGTGCTTGTCCAGTGCCAGCTTGAAGACTGCCAGGGGTCTGTTGGTAATCCCCCTTATGTGTGCTGGGAGGCAGTTGAACAGTCTTGGGCCCCTGACACTTATTGTATGGTCTCTTAACGTGCTAGTGACACCCCTGCTTTTCATTGGGGGGATGGTGCATCGTCTGCCAAGTCTTTTGCTTTCGTAGTGAGTGATTTTCGTGTGCAAGTTCGGTACTAGTCCCTCTAGGATTTTCCAGGTGTATATAATCATGTATCTCTCCCTCCTGCGTTCCAGGGAATACAGGTTTAGGAACCTCAAGCGCTCCCAATAATTGAGGTGTTTTATCTCCGTTATGCGCGCCATGAAAGTTCTCTGTATAGTAATACATATAAAATAACATTTTTACTTACCTTTATTGAAGATTGGTGATGGTATCTGGAAGATAGGGAGGAGGAGAGAGGGAGTTGGAGTTAGTGTTTGGAAGGAGAATCCCCCTCCATGAGGACTTCAGGTAAAGCCCTCTCTGGGGTTACTTCCCTTCTCTGTCTTTTAATGCCACTAGGACCAGCTTGAGTCACTGGACCCCTGTCTCACAAAATAACTGTCCACAGTCCTCTGTTTCTGGCACCTCTTTAACATTTCCCTAAAATGGGACATGGTTCTGTCACTGAACTTGTTGCAAAGATGGCTTGTTTCAGCTTGCTCAGGGTGGTACTTCTGCACAAACATTTGGACATCATTCCACTTGGCACAAATCTCCTTAATCTTTGAAGAAGGCACCTCATCCACTCCCTCTTCCTCCCCTGAAGCAAGTTCCTCAGCTGTGGTCTTATCATGTGGGAGTTCGATACGTGGATTAGGTAAGAAATACTCACGTAGGCTGTTATTACGTATAATTGCTGTTATGTGGAGAGAGCCCGCAGCCGTTACCTTGCCTCCTTGGTCACACCCGTAATACTGACTAGCCGGCTGCCCGGTACCCAGTGAGTGGGTCTTTTGAAATAGTGTCAGTTCAGCGCAATATGAAAGACCGTGACTCAGGCAGAGACGGTTGGTCGTTGGGTCAACGGACACTGGTTACTACTGAGACTGGTAACTGGTTACTACTACTGAGAGCTCGGCGACGCTAACGTATGTCGTCCCGACATACAACTAATACAAACTAGAGATGGCAGGTATACGGCTTGGGCTGATTCTATACAATGTCAAAGTACACAACATTAACCATTATAACCTACATAAGTAGAACATTGGAATGAAAGCTTACGTAACTGAAACTGTAATGCAATACAAGGTATACTATAGTACAACTTAAAACTCAACAAATGAACAACGAACTCAACATTGAGATTACAAGTGATAAAAATAAAAATTTTGATAGATCGATCTGTATTCGTGTGATCTACGGATTCTGAGGAAGGAATATATACAAAGAAAGAGTGTTTAACAGAAAGGCAGATTCGGTGCACGCAAATCTAGACTGTTAACTCTCAGAATGCGGAGAGAACATGAACACAAAAAAAAAATTCTTGACTACTGAAATTGATCTGTAA